GTACATGTATGAAGAAACGAGTTGGTGTCAACATACTTTATATATGAGATGTAAAAAAAAAAAACTGTGCTGTATATGTGTAATAAGAAATGTAATGCAAAAAAGTTTCGAACCTAAACTGAAAGGTTAAGATTATTAGTGGTAATTCAGTGATCTAAATTGCTTTATACAATTTTTCCAGAGAAGAAAATAATGGGTTCAATGAATATTTTGAGGATTATAACATGATCAGCATATGAGTACTCAGAGATCACATATCTATGAGGTCCTGGTGTACAACGAATTGTTTGACACAAGTGTCAGATAATACTCCGAAAAACTTAGAATAGCAAATGTATTGTGCAGTGATTGAAAGTGGTTTTTTATAGTAAGGTTTAGGTAAATTTTTTTCTTTTGTCTTAAGTGATACTTTTTGAGGCTGCCTCTTTCCCTTTGAATAAGTCATCCTGACTTTCATATTGAGCTGTTTTACCCTATTTTCTGTTGCTATAACACAATACCTTACACAGGGTGATTTATAAAGACTAGAGGTTGTTTTAGTCAGCTTTGCATTGCTGTGACCAAAAATACATGACAAGAACAATTTTACAGGAAGAAAAGTTTATTTGGGACTCTTTTCAGAGGTCTTGGGTTCATAGATGACCGGCTCCATTGCTCTGGGCCCCAGATGAGGCAGAATAATCATGGTGGGAGGGTATGATGAAAGAAAGCAGCTCAGGATCTGACAATCGGGAAGCTGAGAAAGCTCTTGCTCACAGGGGACAAAATACACCTCCCCCAACCATTCCTATCTGCCCACGGTCACCACCCACTCCATCCATTCAAGTGGATCAGCGCACTGATTAGGTGAAGGCTCTCATAACCCGATCATTTCACCTCTAAACTTCCTACCCTTCCAGCCCACTCCAGGGTGACTAATCCAGGCTCAGGGGAACTGCATTAATCAATAAGTCCCTTGATCTAATCCCCCTTAAAGGTCCCTTCACCTCTTAACACTGTTAGACTGGAAGGCACAAGGCACTTTCAGACCACAGCAAGCAGCTTCCCTGGTGTGTGTGTTGGGGGGGGGGGGGGCGGCTGTGCTCTGCTATCTCAAGTACATACTCGGTCCAGGCAGGGGCTAGGGGCTGGGGAGACAATGGAGGGCCAAACAGATATGGTTCCCCCTCACAAGCTTAAAGGATGGTGTGGGAGATGGACAGCAGTCGAGTCATCCCCCAGAGCAACAGCACATTTCCCTGAAGTTGTGTGTGAGCTGAGCGGGGAGGAGAGAAGGGAACGATCCAAGCAAAGACCCCATCTTGTGGGGCAGGATGGGAAATCTTGACATCTCCAAGGACTGAAGGGATGCTGGAGTGGCTGGAGCCTGGGGCAGTGGGACAGAGTTTGAGGAGTTTGGTCTTTGCCAGTTTTAGAGAAGTTTATTTGGCTCACGGTTTCAGAGGTGGTGTTCCTTAGATGGCTGAGCCCATTGCTGTGAGGAAGGGTGTGGCAGAAGGCGGAGGGTAGGAAAGTGTCACTAGGAGAGAGGGAGGGGAGGAGGGAGGGGGAGACCTCCTCACCACAGACAAAATGTAAACCCCAAAGCCAACCCCCCATGACCCGCCTCCTCCAGCCACACCCCCACCTGCCTACAGTTACCATCCAGTTAATCCCTGTTAGTGGGTTAACTCTGATTAGGTTAAGGCTTTCATAACCTGATCATTTTACCTCTAAACCTCCTTGTATTGTCTCACACGTGAGCTTCTGGGGGATACTTAAAAGCTAATCCATAACAGGTACATAAACCTTTTTTTAAAAAGTAATTTTTTAGGTGTAGATGGACACAACACAATGCCTTCATTTTTATGTGGTGCCCAGGTTCCGCCCTTGCTAGGCAAGGGCTCTACCGCTGAGCCACAATCCCAGCCCCAGGTACCTAAACTTTAGTGTCTACAGAAACTCCCCACAGTACCCACCCATACAGAACTCATTTTCTTCCCGTTTCCCACCCTCTCCAACCTGCTTATGGTTCAGCCTTTCTCATCTCACCAGATGGCTTCACTTTTCATCCAATAGCTCAACCCAAACATCCTGGCATCATCCATGATATCCCCTTCTTCATTCCGCTATCCCCACATCTAATCCATGAGCAAGGTCTGTCCTCTTTACCTCTTAAATATCTCTGGAACACGGTCAGTTCTCCATCTCTACCATCTCACTCCTGTAATCATCTCTTGCCAGAACACTCCCGCCCCTCCAATCTGTATTCCAAGAAAGTGATGTTTTCAAAATACAAATTGAATCACATCTGTCCTGTGTCTTATGTCGGGGGTTCCAGAGTAAAAAATCTCGATTAGCTCAAGTCACGACAGACTTGTTCCCTTGGCCTTTGGATGCTTCAGTGGTATGCAGAGACCCAGGGATGCATTTCTGGTCATTGACACATGTGGACATTTCTTCTGGGAGCTTCTGGGAAAGAAATTCTTGAGCTTCAAAGGGGACTCCTGGAAGAAAGGGATACTCTTTATTTTGCTAGACATAGGATGTACCTGAATGGCAGCAGCCATTGCTAACAGTCTGGAAGTGAAATTCCAGAAACACCATGGAAAGCAGCGCTTCAAGCATGGTGCCACCCCGGAGCGTGCCTTACCATGTGGGAGAAATCCCCTAGCTATGTGAGTCAGTGGGAGTTGGGTTTTCTCGTGTGTCCTGACCTTGGTATGTGTCTGAGTCATCCACTGCCAAGAGCGCAGTTGGGTACCTGCATCTGAACTCAGAGGTGAGATCTGAGCTGGAGAAATACGCAAGTTCTCAGTGAAAATGGAAGCTTGGGGAAGGGATGAGATCAGAAGAAATCTTGGGGGAGTTTGAGAATGGCAAATCTGCAAAGAAGATTGGTTGGAGCTAGGATAAAGAGATGTCAATGGAGGCGTCTTTCCTGTGGAAAAAAAGACTTTCCTCTTGCCTTCCTTTTAAGACCAATATTAAGGGTCTTATAACATTCCTAAGAGTATCCAAAGGAGATGAAAGGAAGTGGCTCAGGACTGTTTTTAACTGTAGGAGGAAGTTGGATTTCAGAACCACCCCTTGGGATTAACATCAGGAGTTTGGCTTCCTGCCATTTAATAAGTAATTTACCAGAATCTCAGAGGCAACCAAATTGGAACAAACACGCTGGTCAGAGAATCTCCCTTCTCTTCTAAGATACCAGAGACAAAAAGTGCCACTGGTATCTTGGAAAAGGGGCAGAAAGTTGTTGGGAGTGGTCAGGGGTGTCTGGGATTGGAAGGGCATCCCACAGAGGGGAATCATTTTGAGGAAAGGTTTGAGGGGGTATTACAAAGCTTGGAGCCTTCTGAGAAACTGGGGCACCTCAAAGACCCCTTTTCAAACCCTAATTCTTGCTATCAAGTCAGAAAGATTTTAGAATGTCACTCAGTAACAGGAATGAGTTTTATTGAAGGGATAAGAAAAGGAGACACTCTCAAGGGAGGGACAATGTGCCTCTTCTGTATTCCAGTTTTGAGATACCAGAGAAGTTTCCAGAGAGCTCTGCCCATACTTACCTCTTTTTTGACTGACAACAGGGTGACATCAGACTTTTAAATCCCCACTGTGATGGCAACTCTAGGTCACCTTGGCCCATCTGACTGGTTTTAATTGGATTTTTAACCATACATTCTTATAGATCTTATGGTTAGAAGGAACTATCCTCATCTCCCAGAGTTTAGGATATGGTAACAAAAGTTCTCCTTCAGGGTACCTTGGGCTCCTCTTATCAACATTATATTGGGCTTGCAGTTTTCCTGCAGTGAACAGCTAGTTTATTGAGGAATGCGACATAGCCTGTCCACTTAGGCCAGGCAGGGCTGCAGATAAATTACTTTGTGGAAAAGAAAGCATATGGGGGTCCAGGGCAGCAGAGTGGGCCCATTTGATAGACTTATTCTCTTAACCTTGTGTTCCCACCATTCACATCTGTCTGTCCCAGACATTAAAACGGAAGCATTAAACCAAGGACAGCCTAAAGCACAGAATTGGGCTAGAGGCAGACATAGGAAAGAGGATGGGACTATGATGGGAAGGAAGCCAGACTAGGCTGGGTCTTGAAGCCAGGCGAGGCTTGGATTTTATCAGGGCGTGAAATGACTCCTATGGAAAGCTTTTAAGGTATAAAAGGTCACAAAAGGCAAAGGTGTTTCAGAACAAAGTGCGGGCTGGTGCGCGAGTGGCGGGCGGGAGGACCGGGAGCTACCTGTCCCGGTGGGAGAGGCTCTCAACTTGGGCGTGTGGCGGAATCGCCAGGGGAACTTGGGACAACTGTAGATCCCTGGGTCTCGGGCCCACCCATTCCATTTTGTGCACCAGAGCCGAGCGATGACTGGAGTTGAGCTCCGGTCCGCCCACAGCCATTATCCCCGTCTCCGGTGTAGAAAACGGCGTTTCTCAGCGCTCCTGAAAGTGTCCTTTCCCTCGGCTAACGCAGCCCCTCCCGTTCCAGCCTCTGGGACCCTGGTGGTCCCTACGTGGCAGCCGGGCCTGGCAGCGGCTGAGCACATCGGGAGCAGTGGCGCCCCCGCCTGCACTCAGGGACCAGCCGGTGCCGGGCTGAGAAAACGCCGCAGTCCCAGCCCTTGAATGGCTGCAGCTGCCGGCACAAACCCGTGGGCGGGGTCTCCATGGTGACTGGCGGACGCTGTGGCCAATTGTATCCCGGGACTTGTTTGTTTCCGCCCCCCATCCCCCCAAGGGGCAGACACTTCCTTGACTGACAGTTCGCTCTAGGCCCTGTTACGTAAGGGGAGGGTCAAGTGCTGCCCCACCCGAGCGGAGCCGATTTGATTGGCAGGACGCACTGCTGTTGTCCAGACACCCCCGGAAGAGCGCCCTTGATGGACAGGTATGGGAACCACTAGGCGCCCGGAGGCTGGGCGGAAGAGCTCTGGTCCAGGGGAGGGGGCAGGGGGCGGGGCCCGGCACCGAGGGCAGGGCGGGGCGGGGATAGGGCAGGGGCAGGGCTGGCGCTGCAGCCAGAGATGCTGTCGGGCGGCGACGGCGCTCGGCAGCTGGGGACTCTGCGTTGAAGGCTCTGGGGTAAACCAGTTGGTAGGTATGCAGCGAACGAGAAGTCCGTAAGCCGGGGCCACCAGCCTCTTTGGGCCTGGCACTCGTCTCCCTCTTGAGCATTCTTGATTCCTCAGCGACGGCGGCCGTGATGGGACACGGGGGCGGGGCTGGACTGGGCACCTGTGCGCGTTGCAGGCACCTGCTGCACTGAGGTCTTGGAACCTGCAGTCCATGTTTGGGGGCTGCTGAATGGGCTGGGCTGGGCTGGCCCAGGGAAGGAAGGCGGGCCCAGCCTCTGGACCTGTCTGGGGCCCGCCCTCCCAGGCCAAGGCCTGTGGCTCCAGGCAGCGGGGGATGGGAGGGTGGTCTCTCAGACCTGGAGAGACTCAGCCCCCACTCCAGAGTCTTGAAGACCCCTGACTGGCTTCAAGGTAGCTGCAAGGCCAGGGCACGGCCCCTGACTTGCGTCACCTCAAGACAGGTTTGTCCAGATTCTCTGTGTGCTCTGAAACGGATTTCTGCCCCAGGCAAGGGTGCCCATCCCAGCCAGATGTCGGTCTTGGCCGTGCCCGGCGAGCCTGTCCGGGGCCGGAGCTGTTTTGTCTTTTTCCTGGGCTATGCCCAGTCTCCTCTTAACCTGGAATTCCTAGAGCTCATTTCAGGGTAAGTTAGGAGCAGTGGGTCTAGTTTGGCTCTTCTGTGTAAGGGATCATTCGTATGAGCCAAAGACACTGACTTCTCAGCTGTTAAGATATAAAGGAAACTAATCATGTTTTGTTCTCAGAGCCGAACCAGGAGAAATTCCAAAATTGTTTCCTAACGCCAAGGATATAGCATGTGCTTTCCTTCCATCTGTGTCATTCCTATTGGAATGTCATATTGTTCCTGTCGTGGATTAGACATCTAATAAATGGTGTCATTTTTGAAAAGCGTGCTGAAGTTTCTCGATTGTGTTGCTGATGGGACCATTGGGTTAAAAAAAAAAATCATCACAATGCTAGCCAGCAACAAATACCTTTTGCTTAAAGATGGGAACTGGGGGCAAGTTTCATAGGATTCTTAAAGGCAAAGTTGCAGAATCGTAATGTATTGTTAAGACTTGAATGGGATTTTATAGTGAATTTACCATTCTGGGAGCACTAGATCCCAAGAGATGTGGGTCCCTGTTAAATCGGGTGTATCTAAAGGACAGTGGGAGAAAAATCTGTTTTCATTTGGGCCAAGTAGGACCCCGCCTTCCAATTTTTGATGTCCCAACAATTTTCATGTGTCAGTAACCTTTAAAGGCAGATTTGTGGAGAGCTGTTGCTACTTAATTCATTTTGTCAGTATGTTAGTGGAACAACTAGTATAATTACTGGGTGGCATTAACTCTTGGAAAGCAAAGCACTGGCAGGATATGGTAGACTTGGTACCCACCCATGGATGTCATAGGCTCATCAGGGAGAAAATACATGGCTTGTTACATGATTTGCTTCTTAAGAATCTTAAGAAGAAAATTTTCTTAGGGTCAAAATTTAGCAAAATTTTCCTTTTCATCTTCAGCCTTTTGATTGGTACAAATAGGAATTTAGAGAACTGAGCTCTGTGTTCAACAGTGGAGCCTGGGGGGAATCGCCAGCCCAGAGAAGTTGCTGTCCTTACAGCTGGGTTTGGCTGGTTTTCCTTTGCTGCTGCTTATTTTTAGTAAATGACCCACTGACTCTGTGACCTTTGAGACATGCTTTCCTATCCATAACTTGAAGATTCGAGTGGAAGATTTGTTTGTGAGATATTTTTTTGTGCAGTCTTCCTTGCATTTGTGTGTATTGCCTGGTAATTCCTTAAATGCCTAATTCTGTAGACTTTCCATATTTTTACCGGTTTAAAACGTGCAGTTTCTTGAGTGTGGTCCTGCCTGGATTCAGGTATGCCCCGCCCTCTTTACTAACATAGGTATGTGTGGCCTGCCTTGTTTTTTCTTATCTTTGACTAATAGTTTTGCTGGAAGGAATCATTTTGTCCTTGAGACAGCTCTTTTAAAGACACTCTTAAATCAGCCTACCTGGATGGTCTTTTAACATTTGTTCCCATGACCCTGGGAACAGTGATATAACTTTTGTGTAGGTGGGTACAGTGCATTCTGAATCTGGCTTTCCCATTGGTTAAGCCTAGATATTATGCTAGTAGCAACTGTTGTAGTCCATATTTTCAGAATTTCTGGCACTAAAGCTGAACCATGTCACTGACTACTCTGAATCCTAGCCAGGGACCTTGTCGCAGATTTCTGTAGGCATCTAAAGGTGCAAAAGAAATTGGAACCAGAATAGGAAGGGGTATAGAAGAAAATTATTTCTGAAGCTGCCTGAAGACATTTCCTAGGCTTTCATAACTATATATTATATAACATATTGTATCTCTGGGGTATCAGATTTTGTTTCTGACCATTTCAGAATTTTAACTGTTGGCATTAGAATATTTGTGTTTTCCCATATGGTTTTAGGGTAAAGTGAATGCTGAGGACAGAAGAGTTGGATAACACGGACCACTGGACTTCTCTGGAGTACACGTTATGAACCCTTTCTGGAGCATGTCTACAAGCTCCATACGCAAAGTAGGTACAGTCAGTAAGTGCAGTGAGGAAACCCATTTGCCTCTGTCAGAAGAGAGGGCCAGGATGAAGGCTAACGTCATCTAAGCCAAAGTCTCCAGTAACCTTAACAAAATTATCCGGTTTGTCTAGTTTAGGTTTTGTTTATGAGAAGAAATGATTTTGTCCATTAAAGTCAGTTTCTGATGCTGAGATTGCTTGTCAAATAAAAATTGTGGTAATCACAATTCTAAAATTATTTTCAGTTAAGTTTCATCATGGATAAATGTAATCTATGATTGTAGTAATGTCTGTATTAAACTTCAAGAGTCAGAGGTTAAAGCAGCTTTGGAAAATGCCAGTCCAATATGGTCACATCGGACTTTATTTTTTTAAGAACCACTAATTTAATTTTTCTAAATATTTCTTTTGAAAACACATTTTCATTTTAGGAAAGCTTAAAATATGCAAGCAGCAAGAAAAAAACAACCACCCTTAATTCCACCTCTAAGAGAATATTACTTTTTATACAGCCTTTGGTTGTATCTTATGTCAAGGAAGTACCTAGTTTCTAACTCATTTTGTCCTTTTTATTGACTGAGGATGACAGTTTATGCTGATGTCTTTCCACATTTGGAATATCTTCCATTAGGGACAAAATCAAAATTGGACCCAAGCAAGTGAGAAAACAGCTTTGTTTCTGCCTTTAGTGATGACATCACGCAGTGGCTGCTCTGTCATCCACACTATTCTGAACTTCTTAGCACTTGCCTTTCTCCATCATTTATATGTCAGAGGGACTTTTCTAGTCGTCTTCAGTTGTGTAATGGCTTTAGTAACTCCTTGTCATTAGGAGAAACCATTTCTTTAATTTTCCTAAATAAAATTTATTTTAAAAATACATTTTCATCTTGGGGCCACCAAGAGAAACCATTTCTTTCTGTTTCAGTTAATCTGTAAATATGACTGTTGTCCTTCTGTAGTGCAGCTGATGAAAGGGTTTCCTATTCTTTGCTGTTGCTTTAGCCTTGTTCACTCTTAATATGACCTGCTTGCTCAGAGGACTTTCAGATCTCAATCATGGCCTTAGAGTATCCATATAAGACAGGAATTCTGGCTTTTAGGTCATGGAGCTAATAATACTGTACTTTTTTTTTAACATGTGTTTTAGTTGTTGATGGACCTTTTCTTTAAATTTTTTTATGTGGTGCTGAGGATTGAACCCAGTGTCTCACACATGCTAGGCAAGTGCTCTACTGCTGAGCCCCAACCCCAGCCCTAATACTATACTCTTGTGATTTAAGAATCATCTTAATGTGGGGCTGGGGTCGTGGCTCATCAGTAGAGCACTCACCTAGCATGTGTGAGGCCCTGGGTTCATCGTCAGCACCACATAAAAATAAATAAATAAAATAAAGCTATTGTATCCAACTACAACTAAAAAATGAGTATTTTTAAAAAAATCTTCTTAACAAATGTTCTCCCAACTTCATTTTGAATAGCGATCTGATGGTGAAGAGAAGACATTAACAGGGGATGTGAAAACCAGTCCTCCACGAACTGCACCAAAAAAACAGCTACCTTCTATTCCCAAAAATGCTTTGCCCATCACTAAGCCTACGTCGCCTGCCCCAGCAGCACAGTCGGCAAATGGCACACATGCTTCTTACGGACCCTTCTACCTGGAATACTCTCTTCTTGCAGAATTGTGAGTTCTTAAGAGTCTATTTGGTTCAGTTATGAAAGATCCTTGCAGGTGAAAAATGAAATGTTTTTTGATGGACCGGTAGATTAATCTAATCTTAAAACTCAATCCCATCCCCCTCTTGCTCCATTCTGGAGATCAAGAAGAGGAAGAAACTTAAACTTAGGGCTATGGCTGTGGCTCAACCGCAGAACACTCGCCTAGCATGTGTGAGGTGCTGGGTTCGATCCCCAGTACCACATAAAATAAATATATAAAGGTACTGTGTCCGACTACAACTTAAATTTTCCTTTTTTTTTTTTTTTTTTTTAAAAGTAATGAAGAACCTACAGTGGATCAGGAAATTAGCAACTGAATTTTAGTCTTCCTTTAGGTGAAGTGAGGAATTATCTCTTGAAGAGGTTGGGGTGGGGTGGGGTAGTGGGATGGTGGCAGTCTCGTCCTTGGGTCAGACCCATCTGGAAGATTGTGTTCCACTTTGGTTAACACTTTGTTGGAGGCATCCTGATAGAATGAGGAGATGGTCCTGGTGGGGAAGGGTTGGGAAGACAGATTTCAGGGATCAGCAATTAAACTGGAACTGCTGGCTTTGAGACAACTTAAGTGCTTATTAAAGCTGTCTTCATATACTCAAAAGTCTGTTATTAGAAGGGATTTGACTTATTTTATATGACCCCCAAAGGCAGGGTTTGGCAATTATAGGGAGATAAAGATTTGGGCTCTACTGAGTAAGGATTGACTGGTCACAGAAGTTTGCCCTTGCATAGAGGGGCTCAAATAACCCATAGATTCAGATGGCTTGCTTGTTTATTAAAAGGACAGAAAGTCTGGAGAATTCTTAGTTTCCATCATTTAAAAATTCCTTTGTATATGAAGCTATTTTAAAAAAGCATCCTTAATCTCTCTTTCAATGTTCTAATGTTGTCATGGTGAGAGGCCCCAGTGTAACTGGCTGGGTGTGATTCGGTAGCAACAATCCCTTTAGTTTTATAATGGAGGCCTTGTGTTTGAGGCTGGGCAGTGAGTTAGACAAGCTCCTATTGTGGTGATTAAATCTGCTGTGTATTAGAACACAAAATTGCCTTTTCTGGCAAACCATCCCCAGATCTCCTGAGCTGTTGCATGCTGAATTTTAGTGACTTAGAATAGATAAGAACTTAAAAAAATGAATGTGATGGCAACTAGGTAATAAAAGTAATAAGGCCCAATAAACTACTTCTTTATAGAATTCAGGCAGCAGGTAAACATTAAGCCCTAGGTGAACAGTGTTTTTTTCAAGGTCAGATCACAGCATGTAGCTGCAGTTGCAAGCAAGAGGACACAATGGCTGTTGGTGGGTTACTGGGTCCCAGAAAAACTAGTGACACCTCTGTTGATAGACTTGTCTTTCCTTGTTTTCAGCACAGTTTCCCACTCACTGGCAAGGACCGCAGAGTTCAAGTGTCTGCGTTAGGGAGTTAGCTATTTGGGAGTAGAGTACAGCTTGAGAACTCACAATGATGCCCGTCTTCACCAAGTGACACCATGGTTCTGGTGATTCAAACTGAAAAGGACAACTAAGTGATGAGTTTGTGGAATCTTAACAATTGCCTAAAATTGCAATTAAAAGCAGTTTAAAATTTCTGGGCTGGGGTTGTGGCTCTTCGGTAGAGTGCCTGCCTAGCATGTGTGGGCCCCTGGGTTCAATTCTCAGCACCACATATAAAAAAAATAAAGGTCCATTGCCAACTTAAAAAAAAAATTATATTTCTATCTCGTGTTTTATTCTAATACAACTCATCTGTTAGCATTAGTGGTATAATTTGGTGGAGCCTAAAAGGAAAATATTAATCATGTCTTAATAATAAAAAACAACTTTTGAATGTGTATAAGATCCATCATCTACAATAACAAGCAATAATTTTATAGATACTCTCATCTACATCAAATTTAATGTTTTGAACTTTGACCACGTTGTATTATTCAAAACTTTACCTATAGGCTGATTTTTTTCCAAGATGATATTTTTGGGAAGCTGATTTCTGGCAGTAAAACCTGATTATTTGTATAACCCTCCCTGGCTCTTTTTTTTTTTTTTGCAAAGGGGGCAGTTACTAGAGATTGAACTCGGGGCCCTTGACCACTGAGCCACATCCCCAGACCTCCTGAGCTGCTGGGATTACAGGTGTGCGCCACTGTGCCCAGCTTCCCTGACTTTCTTAATATGGGGCCCTTCATTGGCTTGAGATTCTGTGAGTTGGTTATGAAGCCAGTAAGCCGGCAGTGATCAGAGTTGTCAGGTGAAAGACATGATGACTCGGCTTGTATGGTTCGGGTGTCACCTGCCCCTTAAGGGATGATTCCTAGTCTCAATTTAGGATGGTTTGATCTGTATATGTCATTGGCATCCATACAAGTTAATTGTTATACTGCTTTTGTTTTAGTACCTTGGTTGTGAAGCAGAAGTTGCCAGGCGTCTATGTGCAGCCATCTTACCGCTCTGCGTTAAGTAAGATAAGATTCTCTCTTACTTTATAGCATATTTGGTTCCTCTGACACAAAGTTAGGGCTTAACCTTTTTTATTTTTTTCCTGCAGTGTGGTTTGGAGTAATATTCATACGGCATGGGCTTTATCAGGATGGTGTGTTCAAGTTCACAGTTTACATCCCTGATAACTATCCAGATGGTGACTGTCCAGTAAGTAGGAGACAGTGTGGCTTTGTTTGTGGGGCTCCATTCACCAAGGGAGAACTAAAGGGCCTAGGGATTTCTTATTTTGGTTCGCTTCCTGACCGAATGCTTTAACAATTTCAGTTTTCCTGAACATTTGTCTTCCCAGTGGGGTTTTGGTGCTTTGTTGCGTCTTTGGTCATGGGGTGCTCGGCCACGAGCTTCATTCTTTCTCTGCTTGGGGTGTTCAAATGAGGCTGGATGTTGTACTGCAGCACTTACACATGGACAGCACTTGTCATGTTGCAGTTGAAGAGAGTGACCTTTTTCCCCACTGAATGGTTAAAAGTAGCTCAGTATCTTTCTTGGAGCAGCTTTGTGACTTTTTAAACATGACTGCCCTGTTGCCTTGAAGCTCCTTTGGTGACTATCTTTAAGGATCTGTCTCATAAGTTCCAATGCTTCCATTAAAGGACATGTCTCTCTTTAAACACAGCGCTTGGTGTTTGATATTCCTGTCTTTCACCCGCTAGTTGATCCCACCTCGGGTGAACTGGATGTGAAGAGAGCATTTGCAAAATGGAGGTCAGTAAATCAGCGTTTCTTCTAGAGACATAAGATCATAGGAGCAAGCCTTAGTAATGATACCATGTTTCCTTTTAGGCGAAACCATAATCATATTTGGCAAGTATTAATGTATGCAAGGAGAGTTTTCTACAAGATTGATACAGCAAGCCCCCTAAACCCAGAGGCTGCAGTCTTGTACGTGACTTTTTTGTTTGGTTATTTAAGATAAATTTTAAAATCCAGCTAAGTAGATTAAGTTGATAATTTTTTGATTTAAACTTTTAACACAGGTATGAAAAGGACATTCAGCTTTTTAAAAGTAAAGTGGTTGACAGTGTTAAGGTATGCACTGCTCGTTTGTTTGACCAACCTAAAATAGAAGACCCCTATGCAATTAGGTAAGTGGTACGATATCTAGATGAATGGTTCTTTTTAGTACTGCACTTACATTTTCCAGGTGGCCTTTGAATGAAAAAAAAAAAAAAAAAAGAATTTGTATGATCTGTTAGCCTATGCCCTTTGTATCTTGGTGTCAGAACAATTTCCAGTGCTTTGTGGCCTCTTAATGCTTCATATTGTCTGCACGTTGTGCCAATAGCAAAATATGTAGTGACTTCTTTTCCTAAGGACCCTTGTGATATGGTAATTCATTCCCATGTGAAGACTTTTTATTTGGCAGTTTGAGCTGTTCTCTTTAACTGCCATACTCCTACCACCATTCAGGTTTGGTTAAAAAGAGGGAAACTGAATGGTATGAGCATGGTGGGTTCTTGTAACACTATGATGTTGGATCTTGGGGAAAAGCAGCTGAAAGAATTTGGAGAACTAAGGAATTGGTGAATTCTTTGGCAACATTTGCACTGCCAGAAAGGCACTGTGATACAGTTGTTAAGAGCTTGGGCTCAACAGATGATGGACTGGCTTTGGTAGTTTTTTCTTTGGTGACCCAGAGCAATTACTCGATTTTGTTGTACCTTGCTTTCTTTTTTTTTTGGACCCGGGGATTGAATTCGGAGGCACTCGACCATTGAGCCACATCCCTAGCTCTATTTTGTATTTTGAGACAGGGTCTCACTGAGTTGCTTAGCGCCTCACTGTTGCTGAGGCTGGCTTTGAACTTGAGATAATAGTATTTTTAGGGATTATGTGAAGCTTAGGTAATCCTTGTGTAAGGAATGGTTAATATGGGAAGATCATTTATATGAAGCATCTAAAACATTTTAACAACTGAGGAAAGATTATTCTTTAAAAATATTCCTTAAGGGCTGGAGTTGTAGCTCAGTGGTAGAACACGCTTGCCTAGCACGTGTGAGGCACTGGGTTCAATCCTCAGCGCCACATAAAAATAAATAGGGCTGGGGCTCAATGGTAGCACACTTGTCTGGCATGTGAGGCACTGGGTTTGATCTCAACACTGCATATAAATAAGTAAAATAAAGGTCCTTCAACTAAAAATAAAGTGAAGGTATCATGTCCATCTACAATAAAATATTTTTTAATTAAGTTTTTAGAATTGGCTTCATTTTTGAAAAATGGAGATTATACACGTTTATAAAGCCACTGATTGTTTTTAATACTTTCTGCCCCTTAAGCTTTTCTCCATGGAATCCTTCTGTACATGATGAAGCCAGAGAGAAGATGCTAACGCAGAAAGTAAGTAGAAACCATCTTTGAGATGGTTAACTTGCTGTTTCTTTTCTAAAACATCTTTACTGGAGACCTTCATTACACACAAATAACTTTTGGGGAAACAAGTCTGTACCATGCTGCACTCTCCTCATCATCTTTTTTTTAATGTCTGTTTTTGATTGTGCCTAGAAGAAGCCTGAAGAACAGCACAATAAAAGTGTTCATGTTGCTGGCCTGTCATGGGTAAAGCCTGGCTCAGTACAACCCTTCAGTAAAGAAGAGAAAACAGTAGCAACTTAAGAGATGGTGAATCTGGTGCACTGTGCACTTTCCTGCTGGACTCTGGCCTAGTTAAAGCAGACTAATGGCAAAGGACTGCCTGAAGAGTAAACCGTGTGAACCATAACTGGGTATCAGTGTTTTCTATGTATGTGTAGGTTCTAACAGCAGGTTTGGAAACCTCTCTTTAAGTAATGCATTACTTCTGTCAGAAGTGTCTTAGGGTGGTTATCTAGTTCAGTACTCCAAATTATTGGGGACCTTGAGACTTATGTATTTTTCTGAATATAATGCTAAAGGTAAGTTGCATTCATTTAAACTGAGCAGACAGAAATCAGAACGATTTAATAGTTTTAAATCAGTGGTTTCATTTGTACATGTGTTAGCATATGGAGAGGACAGGTTTAGAGAGCAGATTCTAGAGCTTGGCACTTTTAAGTGGAAGATTGTTTCAGTCTTCAGCCTGCTGTCTCTGAGGAATGTTTTAGAGAGGAAACCAGAACACTTGATCTTAGTTTTTTTTTTTTAAACAAATTACTTAACTGTATTTTTATGGCAGGAGGGAGAAAAAGTGTTAAAACGGTTTCTAATGAAGTCAGATATTTAAATGATGATTGACTAATGTGTTTAGTAGATATGAAAATAAACCAATAAATGATTGTTCTTTGTCATTTATATAGGAAACTAAACACCCTTTCTCAATATAACTAAACAAAGATGACTTTATAAATGCTTTATTGAAAAATACACTTATTTTGATATAAAATTACAGTAGCAGTATCTTGAGGTTTTTATAAATATTTTTGCAGAACACTATTCTAATTGAACAGTGTAAGTTCCATATTTCTTTTAGAGCAATATGAAGTTACCTAGTAACTTTGTTTATACTGATTCAATTTACAATTGAATTTTTTCCCTAATAAGATTATTAATTCAACTTTAAAACTGCTGGAGCAATAGTGATTAATAAAGGTGTATATATAGATAGTTCAATAGCTGTTAAATAATATTTTCTAATTTGTATAAATGGTACTATGTACTAATAAAAACCTAAATTCTCCAACCTATTTTTTAGACTGCGAGGAACATACCCAAACATACTTTTACATGTCTTTTGGATAACTACCTCCTAAAGAGGTCATAATTTTTCATATTAATTCTTTCAATTAAACTTGATTTAAAAATGTTTCCTTAGCCAGCTGATCCCTAAATAACAACAACTGGAGAATTTAAAAAGCATGCCCAAAAGGTGGCTACTAGGGCATATAACAGTTTAAAAAAGTACAAAAGAGTTAAAGAAAATACTGGCTATTCAGCCTAGAAGTTTTGTACTTAATAAAGTTCACATTGTAGAAAGTGCCATCAGAAATATACAGCAAAATCTGGGTTACAAAATCATGCATTTTACAGCCCTAAAGTGCCGCCACTTATACAGGTTCATTCAGACATTGCACAACTGCACCACACTACTGGGGAAGGGGAGAAGTGCACCACAGGGGACAGGAGACTTATGCTATAGTGACCTGGGGAATCTGAGCCATCTCCTTTGTTTCATAAATGTAGAAATTTCACACTCCTGTTTGAGAACAAAGTACTTAAGTTTTGTTTTGCTTTTCATAAGAACTAGAGCTGACCACAAACAGGTAGGAATGAATTTGAAATACAATTCCTCTGCTGGAACCTGTTAAGAGACCTCTCACATTTGAAAAGAGTAAGTCTAGTTCTCATAAAAATGCCCCTTCCTATTTCTAATAGACTCTAACTAGCTGGATTAAGGAAACGGGCTCCATAATCTAGCATGCATTAAATGATGCTGCAAAACAGTTTGTGAAAGACAGTTTCAATACCAGGGACTAACCTCAGTGGGAACCTCGGTCATTAGCTACATCTTGGAGACGGCGTAATAAGGCAGAATGATTTTCTGGGCAGATTCTTTTTGCAGGTGATTCACTTCCATCTTCCAAAAGAATCCCTCTCTTTTTAGTTGGAGTTTCTCCTGTCCGTATCATACTGTTAATTTCTCTCAGTCTCTATGGTGGGGGAGAAAACATATAAAAACTTGAAAATGCTAGTGCCACACAGCTCTATTTTGACATATTTCTACAAACATGAAGTACTTTTTTTTTTTTTAAGCAGCACTTCTCAACCAGGATTTCACTAGAGAAGTAAGCCTGAATTCCCTAAGGCTATTTCATTTTAATGAATTAGCTGAGTTTGGTGCTAGGTAGGTATGTTATCCTTGGAAGAACTGAGAAGTTACTCAAATTCCTTTGTGTTCTTTTTGGCTCAGTGGAGCAAGGGAGTGCTAGAGAGACTCTTAAGTGCCTTTAGCATTTTCTCCAGAGTCCTACAAGCCTTTTCTCAATACTATTTTCTTGGTTTAAAAAAAAAAAAATCTATTTCATGTGCTGCTTCATTATCCATGTTTCTTCACAAAAATCATACTAAGCATATTCATGTATGTTTAATTTAGGAAATTTCAAACATAAAGTAGAGAAACCAACATGATGAATCCCCACATGCTCCTTACCCCACTTCAGAAACTCTGGCTGGTCTTATTTGATCTACATCCCATTCACTACTCATCCTCTACACAAACTGTTATCACTTCATTCTTTACTTTGCAATTATCGACTTGAGATTTTAAATAAAATCACAAGTGTTCTTTATCAGTATATGCACTTTCACAAATCTTAACATCTGAAGAAATTTCTTTTGACCCTTTCTATTCCATCTTCTTTGGCCTCCCTAAAAGAACTCTGGTCTGCATTTGCTTTCTCTGTAGTGTCCCACTTACCTAGATATTCCTTATATTTACTGAATACATTAACCATATAATGCCAGGTTGTACAAAGGTTACTATAAAATATGTAGATATATGGAACACACTAATATAGTATATTGTGATGTTAATTGTATATAAATTAATACTCAATATTTTGTACATAGTTCATTTAAATACAAAACATTTTAAACATAAATTCTTATTCCAAAGGAAACATACACAGACTACACCTAGACTCTCTATCCTTACCCAAGCCCCATGGATGCATACTATGTTTTTTTTTACAATAGTTATTGCCATGTCACAATCACTTAGATGCACATCTATTTGTGTCTAAACAAATTGGCATGCTTTATATCCTTCTGTTTTCTAAGAATGCATTCATTCCTAGAAATGTAATATTGTACTGGGGTAATGGGGTTTTAAAATAGTATACTTATATACTATTCAGAATATTTGCACATTCAACACCTTAGATTTTTTCCCATATCGGTATATATGGTCCATCACAACTAACAGCTTTATAGTATTTTGTAGTATGTCGCTATCATAGATTAATCCTCTATTGATGTATTATATACTACTTAATCATCAGAATTGCTTAATGCTGTTAAACAATTATACTACTATAATTAAATATATAATTCTGACTTATTCTTCAATTAACTGTAGTAATCCACTGAAATAGCCCTTATAATTACTAATAAGTCTTCATCTTAATTGACCTTGTGTGATACTTGATTCTTTTCTCCTGGTAGTATGTTTACTACAAATTGGCTGCAGACCCAAATTACTTCTTGCTTTGAAATGTTCTCCCCTGTTCTCAGTCATCACCTATTAAGTCATCATGATGACTGTTTCTCCACCTAACAGCTTAATAGTTGCTATCATTTATTGAAGAAACTCCCAATTCTGGGTTAGAATTTCTTTTGGTGATACTACAGATGCAGGATTGAAATAATCAATCTGGATGCTTAATTCCTTTTCACACAAAATACTGGTTCCCCACCTTGGGTTTACATACAGTACAATGCCTTTTAGTATATCTGCATATTTAAACAAATACCTAGTTGTATGAATACCATAACAGAAACCTAAAACATTTCATATCTCCCTGTGGTCCACCTACTTCTAAGCAAGCACTGATGCTTCCTGTCCTATAGTTTTGTTTTCTAGAATGTCAGAAATGGAATCATGATAAGTAGCCTGGTACATATCTTGCACTTAGGCATTAATGCATTTGAGATTCATACATATTGTTGAGTGTATCACTTCTTTATTGTAAAGTAGTTCATTTTCTGCTGCACTGCAGGTCTACCCATTAACCGGCTGAAGGACATTTCCATTTTTATACTTTTTGGTTAGGAGTAAAGTCACCATAAACATTCATGTTCATGTATAAACATAAGCTTTCACTTAAGTACCTAGGAATAAGATTACTGGTTGTGTGGTAAGGGTATGTTCAACATTTAGAAGAAAACTGTTACGCTGAACTCCAGAAGACTACCATTTTGCATTTTCACCGGCAGCATAGAAAAGTTCCAGCTGCTCCACCTCATTGCCAGGACTTGTTCTTGTCATTGTATAAAGTCATTCCAGTAGGCATGTAATGGGAGGGTGTGTTCAAATGTTTGGCCAACTTGTTACCTTAGGTGGTTTATCTTTCCATTTGAGTTTGAGAATTCTTTATATATTGTAAATGTGTCCTTATCAGATTTGGGATTTGTAAATACCTTCTAATTTCCATGATTTGTTTCTTCATTCTTTTAAGTGACTTTTAAGGAGAAGTTCTTAAAATACAATTATAGTTAATGGATTGTGCTTTGATGTATCTGAGAAATCATTCCACAACACATGTCAGTCAAGATTTTTTTTTTTTCTAGATGTCCTCTTTGGTTTGAGTTTTTATGTGGTGCAGGGTACAGGATTAAGTTTACTATCATAGTATATAGATATCCAGGTTTTTATCACCTTTGTTGAAAATCAGCTGACCACATGTACCTGCTCAACTTCTGCATGTTCCAGTGATCTGTCTATACTTTGAGAAGCACTACACTGTTTCAATTAGTATAGCTTTAGTGTGAGTCTTGAAACTAGATAGTACGACTCCTCCAACTTTTTCAAAATTGTTTTTAGTTATTGTATTTCCCTTGCCCTTCCATACATACATTTTAGCATCAGTTTATACAAGTAATTGTGCTAGGATTTGGGGTGAAATGGGGTTTAATTTGTAGATCAACTGGGCGAAAACTGATATTCTGTTTTCCAGATCATGAACATTTCTCTAGTTTGTCAGGCTTTCTTTCAACAAAGGTGTGTAGTTTTATGTCTCATACTTAATTTTTAAATGTATTTTTGGCATTTAATTTTTTTTACTTCTGATACTTCTGATTTTTCCATATGGAGTTTTATAACCTCCTAAATCTTTTAATTTCAGAAACCTTCAATTCTTGGTGTTTTTTCTGTACATACTTCAGTCTGTGTGCCTTCTTTATGTTGCCTGATTACATATGGTGTGACCCCAGTTACAATGCTGAGTAGAAGTGAGAGTGGACGTCCTTGCCCGATTCCTGATCTTGGGGAAAGGTATTCAGTCTTTCACCACTAAGGATGTTGTTGTCTATAGCTATTTTGGCTTGTGTTCATTATCACCTTCTCTCAGGGTGTTCCCACAGTTTGCCCTTGAATGAATGTTGAATTTTGTCATTTGTTTTCCTTCATTTGTATAAGAACTGGCATTATTTCTCACATGTTTGGTAGAATAGACCAGTAAAAGCTGTCTGGGCCTACAGTTTTGAGGCTGCTACTTCTTGAGTGAGTTTTATTAGTTTAGGTCCATTTCATCTGTATTGTCAAAAAAAAATTGTTTCTTAATCCTCATTATACCTTAGTGTATACTGGTAATGTGTCATTCTTTTTCCTGATGAATCTACACAGAGATCAGTTTTTGAAATTCTTTTCTTCAAAAAACAAACAAAACTAGCCTTTAAAAGTGCCTTGATTTCTCTGGGTGGGATCTGTTTTCTATTTCAATGATTCCTGATTTCTAGTTTAAACTCAGATCACTAATTTTAACCCCTTCTTTTCTAATAGATATTTTTAGTGCTATAAATTTCTTTAATTTGTGGGACACAGCTAACATGGTGCTCAGTTTGGGATCTCATTTTCAATAGTCTATTTTCTAGTTGCTTTGACCCGTAGAAATCTGTGATTTAGTTTTCAAAAACTGGATTTTCCAGATATCATTTCTGATATCGGATTTGATGCCATCATAACCAGAAAAATTGAAAAAATACATTAAAATGTATTCAGAGCCAGGCACAGTGATGCACGTGTATAGTGACACAGAGGCAGAAGGATCCCATACACACAGTCGGCCTCAGATCTCAGCAAGGCCCTATTTCAAACATAAAAGGAGCTGGAGATGTGCCCCTGGGTTCAATACTCAGTTCCAAAAGCAAGTAAAACAAATTTTGTTAGGCCTGAGGATGTAGTATGTGTGAGTCCCTAGGATCAATCCCCAGAACTATCAAAAAAAAGTTTGAGATTTGTCCAGAATGTGGTTGTTCTTAAATGTTTCACGTATAGTTGATGCTATGGGAATGTTCTGTAGATGTCAGCTCATCAGCCTTATGATATAATCAATTATGTTGAATATTTGTCTTTCTCATGGTACTGGGAATTAAACACAGGTACTCTACCACTTAGCTACATCCCTGTCCTTTCATTTTATTTCAGTGTCTTGCTAAATTGCCCACACTGGCTTTGAACTTGTAGTCCTCCTGCCTCAGCCACCATAGTAGAAAAGAAAAATTTCAGTCTGGTGGCACACATCAGTTACTGCAGCTATTGAGGACTGTATAATCTCACTGATACATCCTGAAATCTACTTAATGTTACCCCTAATTAAAGGAAAGGTAGAGTATCTATTAATAAGCAACATGGTATAGCTTTTTCCATTCTTAAACATCCTTCTTGAGATATAGTTCATCCACATAAAGTGTAACAACTTCATGGGTTTTGGTATGTTTCCTAGATTTGTGGACTCTTTGAGGAAGTAGCTTCTATCTAGGTTGATAATTGGAAACTTTTCCCTTCTAGGCAAACACTAATCTATTTCTGCCACTATACTTGCACATAAATGGAATCATAACATGCAAATTTTTCCAGGTCCATCCACGTTGAAGTATGTATGAGTAGTTCACTCCTTTTTATTGCCACATAATATTCTATTGTATGGATAACTTTTTTCATCAGTTACTGGACATTTGCGTTATTATTCTTTTATTTTAAAGGTTATTTAGAAGCAGCACATGGTTTGGTCTTGACTTTTTCCTATTTGGTCTTTTGAATTATTCTAGTTCATCTCCTTTGCTGCTTTTCTGACGACTGATACTTAGACAATGTGTACTACATTCTAGTCATTCCTTTTTTTCTTTTAACCAAATAAACTCCAAACAGATTAACATTTGTATAAAATCGACTCTAGTCATTTCCCCCCCACTTCACTTTTTAAGAGGTTATAATTACCAGTTCTGAGTTCCATTAACAATCCAGCTTGGAATATAACTGGAAACTTTACCTTTTTAATACAGGAGTCTTATTCAGAAGCACTGATATATCTTCATTTATACTAAATTAATTTTCAATAAGTTATATACATTTTTTCTAAGGAATGGGATACTTTTAAGATTCCAAGCCTATAAACCTTACAATCTCCAGATTTACAGGAATACACAAATAGAAGTGGCGATGGGGGAGTAGATAAATATAAATCTGAGTCCTTTACCTGTTTCCAACCATGGGCTGGAGTTGCAAGGCAAATGCTCTACCACTGAGCTACAAGTGTAAGGCACTAGGTTCAATCTTAGCACCAAATAAAGGCACTGAGTCCATATACACCTAAAAAATTAAAAAAAAAAAAAAACACTCTGGTTTTTGCTGCATAGACTTACTGGCCACTGTTCCCTGGCAGTTCTCATCACTTTAGTGAGTGCCTAGGATAAGCCCAAACCCTACTTGGAGCATCCTAAAAGCATTTTAGGGTTTGTAAAGGACATTTATGTCAGTCTCACCTTTGACGGACTGTTGCTGAAGTAGTAAAAAATCTTTTCTCGGGGTGAAAGCATTGATTCATTTTTATGTGGGGAAATGTAGACAGGATGATTTTGAGATAACTGAATTCGGCGAGGGGAGCCTGTTCTGACAAATGGATAGGGAGAGAGTGGAGGTGCATCCATCTGTTAAAAACAAAATCAGTAATTGTAAGAAACTCATTTACTTAAAATACCTGAGTAGAAAGTTTTTAAAAGGTAATAAGAAAGTAGTTTTATAAATGGTAAACGGTGATGTATTAGCAACAATCAGACCCTAAAGAAAGTCAGATGAGCAGCAAACTTAAGTGCTTAGTTTATGCCCATCTCCGCTTTAAGCATTTTTAAATCCATTATTGTCATCATCTCATCCTTGCAACAACCTTATAAGCTGGAAACTTCTTTATGCCTCATTTACTTCTATTCCCATTTTATGAGAAAATAAGTGGTAAGATCACAACCACCCTTAAATATTGGATAATTTAAATCCATGTAACTATCTCGTATTTTGCAGGGAATCCAAATACAATCTTATTATCAATGATGTTGGATAGGCAAATGTCTTCTCTTGAAGACTTCCTTAGTTGTACTTGATAGTTGCTTATAAATCTAGCTTGTACACAAACAGGTCAAATATAAATGATTATTCATTCCTCTGGAGTGAAAAAGAAATACTGTTGTGAAACTTACTATGTTTGCCTGTGAGTACTTCATGGCAAATGTCTTAATTTGTTTTATGTAGATGTTGTTGTAGAACTGAATGAGGTCTCCTCTCTCTTCCTCTTCCATGTCACTGTTGGCACCTGTGAGACGAGTTGGTGTAGGAGGGGCACTGCTAGGCTGTGGAACTGGCAAGGTGCTGCTTGACCTCATGACAGGACTGGAGTCTCTACTGGCTACAAAGAGTGTTAAACACAAAGGTTGCTAGTACTGATCGTTTAAAAAAAGAAAATTCAGTAGCAAAAAGCTGAACAGCTACCTACACTACTTGGTATGAAAAACAAACTTCCCACTAAGAAGCAAATCTCAGAAAATAACTTTACTCCCATGCCATAACTGGAGCACAGGTATAGCGGTCGGTTAGTTTCCTAGGATCTGAATCCTGCACGAAGTGGTGCAAATCAATAACTAGGGATGGCATTTCCATAGCATAGCTCCAAATGAGATGCCAGCAGATTCCTGTCTGAAGCCTTTTCTAATTCCCCTGGAGAAAAATGGTATGCACTTTGTCTCAGAATAATGAAATGAAGAACTGTCACTAAATTTAGAATCTGCTAGAAAATTAAATTCTTTGTCAAGAAAGCACTTTCTATAGTAATTCTTTCATGTAGTAATTCTTAGTCTCCCAGGCCTAAAAAAATAAGAGCCTACTTTTGTTTGAGGTCATAGAGATCTACTTACTTCTATCTTTGTTTAGTTCTGTAGGAGAATTCTGATGGCTTCTACTTTCACTGCTGCCAGAATTTCTTCTTTTCCTTTTCCCTTTTATCAAAACACTTCTATACACCTTTAAAGAGACAGAATGTCACAGAAACTAGTATTTATTAAATGCCTCCTAAATAGTAGAACCTTGACATGTTACTTAATTCTCACAACAGTGAGTAGGAGTCATCTTTCTCAGGGGATATTAAGAAATGCAGCCATGGTCAGGCACACAGCTATTAAATAACAAATACAGGATTTACATCAGAGCCTGTCTAGCTTCAGATTCCATGTACTTCCTAACATACCACAGAGCATAATAGCACCCAGCCATAAAATTCAATTCATCTACAAAGATCCAGCATTCTTGCCTTTGAGAAATGGTATTAAAAGAAAAATGGGTTTTAAATTTTAATTAACACTATCTTGGTTAAATGTACAATAGTGTTTACTCAGATAACTTAATTTCTATCTAGTGGTTCTGTGAATAAAGAAATATTCCATAATGTTGCCCTTGAAAGAAAAGAGGACTTTACCAACATGTGAAGTTCTTTGTCAGTGACTAAAGAAAGATTAATCTTTGTATTCGTCACAGACTTTAAGCTTAATTTTCAGCCTACAGTTACCTGGCTTCTGGCCTGTGGCTGAGTCCTGTAACAACGCATGATATTCTGGAAGGACTTGTCTTCTTTTGTGACCTGGCAAAGAATGAGAGTACTCAGATCAACTTCCAGCATGACAGTGTGAGGAGCTCAGTGAATCTGCTTTCCATAGCAAGTAGTAAAAATTGTATTTAAAAACAGTGATTTAAAGTCTCTGGAAATGGTCCTAAGGGTATATAGCAAATGAAAAAACATCTATTCAAGAAAATCTAAAATTCAATAAGAGGATTCTATAGCATGTGAACCAAGATCTGGTGTAGAAAAGTACAGTAACTAAAATTAAAAACAAACTATAGGAGAAAAATAGTAAATTTGAACCAGAAAAGAATTAGTAAAATTGAATAAAGAGATCGTGTGATCTAAAGAACAGATGGCATGGTGTGTACATTTCTGAGACTATGTGTAATGGGAGTACCAAGGAAGAGAGAATAGAGAAGCAAGTGTTCAGAGAAGTAGAGTGAAATTTTCCCAAGTGATTTTAAAACATTCATGTACATATCTATGAAGCTCAAGAAACTCCAAGGATCCACAGATCCACACCTCAATATATCATAGTAAAAATGCAGAAAGCCAAATAGAGAACATTAGTGAGAAAAGCAATTTCTTTTCATTTACAGGGAAACCCCGATAAAATAACAGACTATACAGGTCAAGAGATAATGAGATAACATATTTAATCTTCCATAAATGAAATATATCCTCAAAACCAGAATGTGCTTGCTAGCAGCTTATTACAGAAAGTTCTTGAAGCTAAAAATAAGTGTGTCTGGACAGTAATCCAAATATATGCCAGTGTTCTTGGCCTTTTTCACAAAGACATTATGTAATTATAAAGACACTAAAAAGGCATATTTTTCTCTTGGTTAAAAACAATTATATAAAATATGTATATGATGTATTGTTGGAGCTGTTACAAAGAAAGGAGGTACATAGGAGCAAAGCTGTATTGGATAAAATAAATTATTCCAGAATCCATGAGAACCAATAAGAGAAAGAAATGAAAATAAGGTTAATATAGCAAACTATAAATACATTACTTTTTTTTAAAAGTCATACAAGTATATCAATGCCAAGTAGCTGTTCGATTTGTAATATGTAAACAATACAACCACTAAGGAAACAAAATGGTGTAAAAATTCATTACTAAAATTAAAATTGAACATTAAAAAAAACTTAATGCAAAAAGAATAAAGGAATGTAAAACCAGTTATATCAACATTAAAGTGAATGAACGGAATAGTCAAAAGGTGGAGATTGTCAGACTAGAAATGAGATCCAACTGTATCCTGTTTATAGGAGATGTGTTAGATTCAAAAATACAAGCTAGGCATGGTGGAATCCCAGTACTTGGGAGGCTGAGGCAGGAGGATCACAAGTTCAAAGCAGCAACAGTGAGGCACTAAGCAACTCAGATCCTGTCTCTAAAAAATAGGGCTGGGGATGTGAATCAGTGGTTGAGTGCCATAGTTCAATCCCCAGTACCCCCACCCCTCAAATAATACAAGCTGGGTGCAGTGGCACATGCCTGAAATCCCAGCAATCTCTGGGAGGCTGAAGCAGGATCTCAAGTTCAAGCCAACCTCAGCAAGACCCTCAAAAAAAGGCTGGAGGATAGCTCAGTGCTAAAGTGATTCTCCCACAAACACATATATATTTGAAGTAAACTGAAAAGACAGATTTAGCAGACTACAACTACACAAGTATCACACTATAAAAACAACAAAAAAAAGCTGTTAAAGAGGGATATGGGATATTTCATAATAAAAAGATCAATCCATCAGGAAGTTATGCTAGGAAGTAGTAAACAAGCACACACGTTAATAGTGTACTAAGTTACATGAACCAAGGTTAGGGGTGTAGTTCAGTGGTAGAGTGCTTGCCTAGCATATGAAAGGCCCTCAGTTCAATCTCTGGTATCACAAAACAACGAAAACCCAGAAATGAAGGGGAAAACATAAAATTTCAACAATATTTGGAGATTTAAATTTACTTTCAATATGGATAAAAGATGACTGAGGCAGAAGCTCAAAAAAGAAATAGGTCTAGTTGTTTCATAGTGCTAAAGTCTAACGACATTCTGCTCCAAAAGAAATTCTCGGCTGGGGATGTGGCTCAAGCGGTAGTGCGCTCGCCTGGCATGCGTGCGGCCCGGGTTCGATCCTCAGCACCACATACAAACAAAGATGTTGTGTCCGCCGATAATTAAAAAATAAATATTAAAAATAAAATAAAATGAGCATTTATTCTTAAAAAAAAAAAAAAAAAGAAATTCTCCAAGAAGGACCATATACAAGGCTATAAAACCTTGATATATTTAAAAGGACTGAAATAATACAATGTTTTCTTTTTCAGCCAAAGTGAAATGAAACTAGAAGTCAGTAAAGAAATTCAGGAAAAATGTAGAAATTAACATATTCCTAGATAACAAATAAGTCAAAAAGAAACCAAAAGGGAAATTCAAAAATACTTAGAGATAAATATGCAGTGTATGTTATAACTGTTAATGCCTACATTATAAAAGGATGTTAAGATATTAGAAATATCTTTACAAAGTCCTTGAAAAAAGTCCATCTGAAGATACTATCCTTAGCAATAAGGACAAACTAGTAGTAAACTAAACCTAGCAACATAAAAATTATCAACGAGACCAAAAAGGACTTAACATTGGCATGCAAGGCTGGTCTAACATAAGAAAATCAGTGGATTAGAGTAAGTAAAACAAAATCAGGAAAAAAAAAAAAAAGACTAACACCTTTTTATGATAAAACAGTCAACAAACTAGGAACATAAAGGGAGCTTCCTCAATCTGATAAAAGGCATCCAAGATAACTAAAATTAGGAAAAGACAAGATTTCTGCTTTCAACTTTTGTATTTAACATTGTAGGTTTTAGCCAAGATAGTTGGGAAGGGTAGCTGGGATAAAGGAAATAAAAAGTATCTAATTTGGACAAGAAATCAAATTATACATGAAAAAGTCTAAGGAATCAATTAAAATCTATTAGAACTAATAAGTTCAGCTACGTTCCTAGATATTAGACCAATATACAAAAATCAGTTTTTTCTACACACTTGCAGAGAACATACCAAAAATGAAAGTTACATTTACAATAGCATCAAAAAGGATATATAGGAATGAATAGAACAAAAGAGCAAAAGTCATACTTTTCAAAGTGTAATACATTGTTGAAAGACCATTTAAAAAAGATCTAAATAAATGTTAAAAGCATGCCATATTCAAGGATCAAATGACTGAAGATGGCAAAACTCCCTAAACCAAAATACAGATTCGGTGTAACCGATCAAAATCTCAGATGACTGTTAAATTGACAACTTGATTCTAAAATTCACATGGAATTTCAAGAGACTAACACAACCAAAATAATTGAAAATAAAAGTAGGAGGACTTGCATTTCCCAGTAAAACTTATAAAAAAGCAACAGTCATCAGAGTATGGTACTACATAAGGACAGATAGAGATGGATAGAATAGAACTAATTGTGCAGAAATAAGCCTAAATGTCTGTGTGTGTCTGATCAACCACAAAGGTGCCAAGATTATTCAATGGGGAAAAATAGTCATTTTAATAATGGGGTTGGAGTAGCTGGAAAGCCACAAAAGAATGAAGCTGGACTTTTATTTCATAGCATATACAAAAATTACTCAGAAGCAAAAATAAAATGACATTGGTTCTCAAGATTTGACAATGGAGTCAGACATGAAAACAAAAAAAATAGGTATCTGAACTTCATCAAAATTAAAAACTTTTGTAAAAGCTTCAAATGACACTATCAAGTAAGTGAAAAGATACACTGGACTGGAAGGGAAGCTTAGTAGCAGAGCCCTTGCCAAGCATGTTTGAGGCACCAGGTTCAATCATCAATCACCCAAAAGAAAAGAAAAAATAACAGAGAACAGGAGAAAATAAATAATCCAATTTTTAAAATGAGCAAAGGATTTAAATAGGTACTTCTCCAAACAAGATACACAAATGGCCAATGAGCAAATTACAAGCTGTTTATCATCATCAGTCAGGAATTCAAAACCATAAAAAGTCCTTCATACCTACTGGAAAGGCTGGAATCAAAATTCATATGGAAAGGCTGGAATCAAAATTCATATGTAAAGGCCAACAGGGCACAATGAAAGATGGTCAACATCATTGAACAAATACAATTCAAAACCACAGTGAGATAACACTCAATACCCCAAACTAAGAATTATATCTATGTAAAATAAGGTGGCAAGGATATAGAGAAACTAGAACTCTCTTGCATTACTAGGAGCAATGTAAAATGATGATTCCTCAAAATGTTCAACAGAATTACCATATGACCCTGAAATTCCACTTTTATGTATAAACTCTTAAAAAATTGAAAACAGCCAAGTGTGGTGGCACACACCTGTAATCCCAGTAACTCCAGACTGAGACAGGAGGATTGCAAGTTCAAAGCCAGCCTCAGCAACTTAGACATTATCCCAAGATAAAAAAAATTTAAATAAAAATTGAAAATAGGCACTCAAACAAGTACACAAATATTCACAATAGCACTATTTATAATAGCCAAGGGTTGGAAAGAGCCCAAATGTATCTCTATGAATGAATGGATAAATTCTAATGTAACCACACAATTTCAGCTATAACAAGGAATGGAGTACTGATACAAGGATATACTTTGGAAACATTATCCCAAATGAAAGAAGCAATACACAAAAGGTCAATGTTTTGGGTTTTTTTTTTTTTTTAAGTTGTATATGGACTCAGTGCCTTTATTTGGTTTTTTGTGGTGCTAGGATTGAAACTCACATTTACGAGGCAAGTATTCTACCACTAAGCCACAACTCCATTGTTATACCATTCCATTGATATGAAATATCAAAAAGCCACTGAATAGTAAATACTAAAAGCCACTAAACTGTTTAAGTTAAAATGGTTAAGTATATGTAATGTGAATTTCAACTCAATAAATTAAAAATATTTTTTAAAAACAAAGATAAAAGGTATTGTGGAGCTGGGCTTATAGCTCAGTGGTAGAATACTTGCCTAGTATGTGTGAGGCACTGGATTCAATCCTTGCCATCATATAAAAATAAATAAAATAAAGGTACTGTGTCCATCTACAACTAAAAACATTAATTTAAATAAAGTATTATTGGCCAGGCATGAGGTCCTAAGTAACTCAGTGAGATCCTATCTCTAAATAAAATTAAAAAAACAGTGCTGGAGATGTAGATCAGTGGTCGAGTGCCCCTGACTTCCATCCCTGGAAAGGATGGAAAAAAAAAAAAAAAAAAAGTATTGTTATATTATGGGGCTGGGGATATAGCTCAGTTGGTAGAGTGCTTGCCTCATATATGCACAAGGCCCTGGGTTCAATCCCAAGCGATTTAGAAATTAAGGCTCCTCAGACTGCTGGTGGTAAAATGGTACGGTACATTAGAAAACAGTCTGGCCGCTGAGGCTGTAGCTCAGTGGTAGTGCAGTTGTCTGGAATGCGTGAGGCACTGGGTTTGATCCTCAGCACCACATATAAGTAAATGTTTGGAGAAATGACATAACATCTTTGCCCTTGCCTTTTTAGCCTTGAATGGCACTCACCTTTGCCATCACATAAATGGCACACATTAATAACTGGTCCAGATGTCTGTCCATCATAAGTTCTGTACACTGAATTATGGAGAATTCAAAGCAGGTCCAAATTTTTTTCCTCAGTTCATCTGAAATATCTAGTTTAGCACAAAGATCCCGAAGGCGGACACCTGCTAAGTGGTATACCTAATAAATAAATAAGAATATTTAAAAATTTGTTTAACACTTATATATCCCCAGCTCATGTTCTGGTTAAGGTATACATAAAAAATTACCTTTCTAAAGAAAAGCGATAATGAGCTGGTCTTCCTAGGTCTAACATTGCTGCTCGTTAAAGACTGGCCTTGTTTCTGCTGTTGTCCACCGGGGGAAATCTGTTGGATGGCCACTTGACCAGGGACTTGCAAAGTTGTTCCTGTCACCTGTTGAGAGCTCAGACTTCCAGTGAGGGCCTGAGCACTGAGGGGCTGAATGGAGCCAGTCACAGCCTGTGCCTGCCCCCCAACATTGACTTGGACTGGGAAGAATGTTATCCCTCCATTTTCATTGGCAATACCTACACCAGTTTGTTACAACATGGGAAAAAAAGACAAGAAGAAAATGTTGAAAATATGAGGTTCTCTTGGCAGAGGTTTCCTTTTTTCTCTTTCCTCCTAAAGTTCCTCTCCTCATCACTTCTCTATTCCAGACATTACTCCTCTAGCCAAACCTCAAGTAACTTTCCAATAAATGCCAGAGAACTCAATATCCAACTCTTCCTTACCTTGTACAGGAATGGTCACTGTCTGTCCATTGTTGGCCGTGACAGTGGCAGTTGCCATGGTGACTAAAGTCTGTCCAGGAACTGGTGTGACAGAAACAGCCTCCCCAGATACATTCTGTACCGGTACAGCATTGACCAGGGGCTGTGAGGGAATGCGCCCAGGTGTCCCTCCATCAGAGGGGCTGTCATTCTCAGGAAACAGCCGCCTTCTAGTAGTACTGGCTGTTGGGGAGCTGTACCTATCATATAATGAAGTTGGAGATGTCATGCCTAGGTTAAAACAAATCAAATAAACCATTTAACATGAGACAAATCAACTTCCATCGAAGCTCTTGTGTTCAAAATAACTACAGTATTTCAAATAATTAAAAACTTAAAAAGCAAATAAAACTTACAGAAGTCATAGTGTACATACAGTCAACTAATAAAAAATTTAGGTCAACACTACTGAAAGCAAAATTTTATGAAGAAATGTTTCTGTATTTTTCTCACTGTGCTGCCTTCTCTATTCCACTTTCCACTAAAACTAGGCTTTGTCTTCTACTACAAAGACTCCATGATACAGAGGAAAGTTAAGAAATTACTATTTTTCTATACTTTTTTTTGAGAGAGAGAGAATTTTTTAATATTTTTTTTTTTTTTAGTTTTCGGTAGACACAACATCTTTATTTTATTTGTATGTGGTGCTGAGGATCGAACCCAGCGCCCACGTATGCCAGGCAAGCAAGTTACCGCTTGAGCCACATCCCCAGCCCATACTGAAATTCTAACATCCGTGCACAGTGTGCTTTCACTGCAAAGCCATTACTTGATAAGGGGAACATGATGGTAGTATCACATCTGACAGCATTTTCCAGTTGTGTATGAATTTTCACCTTAGTATTTTTCTACATAAACAGAATCACTGAATCTCAATATTATGCTCTTCAGCAAGGTGGACATTCACGGTTTAGATTCAACTAAGCTTAGAATTGTCCCCCCTCCCTGGCATACTAGGGATTGAACTGAGGTTATGCCTAGCCCTTTTATTTTGAGACAGTCTCAGGTAAGTTGCTGAGGCTCTCTATAAACCTGTGATCCTCCTACCTCTCAACCTCCCAAGTTACTGGAATTATAGGTTATGAGCCACCAAGTCCAGCAATACTTTTCTTTTTTAAAAAAAACAGCTGTACTGAGATATGGGTCACATGCCATACATTTCACCCATTTAAGTTGTGTAAACCAATGGGTTATGGTATATTATTAATCTTTCTAAATTGTAGTAATATATGTAACAAAATTAGCCACTTTAAAAAACCATTCTTAAGTGTACAACTCAGTAGCATTAAGTACATCTACAACATTGTACGATCATTAACACTATTTCCAAAACTTTTCATTACTTCAAAAACACTAAAAATAAACTAAGCTGTAATGATTAAATATTCAAACCAATGTTTATTTCTAAGAAGGAAGCAATCCTTTCCCTCTTCCATGTCCACCTGTAAAAACTGTATATCAGAAGGTTTTTAAATTTAAAAATATATGTAGGAAGATCATGAGGGTTTACAGGAGTAAGTGCCGAGAGACTGTGCCTTAACTTTACCTGATACAAAAATAAACTTACTAGGTCTGCATTTGGTACAAAACTACAGAATCAGCAAGAATGTGTGAAATATTTTTTTTTTAACACTGAGAAAAATGGACAACTGATAAGAAAATGAAGTTTAATGTCAAATCCCAATCCATAGATTAGGGAAGGAAAAACTATAGAAACATGAGAAAGAATAGGTGTTAAGATTCATAGATATATTCGAGTTGATAATAAGCAGGAAAATGGTTAAGCCACTGTGAATCCTCTTCAAGTTTTCATATTGATCAGACATATTTATTGACTGCACTGTAGAGTGATTCTTGACTTTAAAACTGATCCTCCTAAAATGAGCACAGTGGCACACACCTGTAATCTCAGGAAGCTGAGGCAGGAGAACTGCAAGTTCAAGGCCAGCCTGGGAAACTTAGCAATACTCTGACTCAAAACAAAATTTAAAAAAGGGCTAGGAATGTAGCTTAGTGGGAGAGAATTTTCCTACCATGAGTGAGGCCCTGGGTTCAATCGCCAGTACTGCAAAATACAAACTGATCCTTCTACAGCCAGGACTTATCAAACTGATCTAGAACAAGAATATTTGAATGGCATTCAACCATACACAACTTGCTTAATTTACAAAACTGTTTTTTAAATAGTAGTTGTGGGATTAGGAGTGTGGCTCAGTGGTAGAGCACGTGCTTAGCATGTGCAAGGCCCTCGGTTTAATCCCCAGCACCAAAAGAAAAAGTAGTGTTATCTCCTACATGTAAATTTATTTTTGTGATAAATTTTTTATCTGCTCTTTTTAAGATACACTCGACAGTAGAATGTATTTTGACATATTATACATACACAGTGTTTAATTTATTCTAATTAGGATCCCATTCTTGTGGTTGAACATGTTGTAGAATTACACTGGTCATGTATTCCTATATGAACACAGGAAAGTTATGTCTGCTTCATTCTACTGTATTTCCTATTCCCATCTCTACTCCCTTCCCTTCATTCCCTTTTGTCTAATTCAATGAACTTATATTCTTCCTTCCTCCCCCTTTATTGTGTATTAGCATCTGCATATCAGAGAGAACCTTCAACCTTTGGTTTTTTGGGATTGGCTTATTAAACTTAGCATATGTCGGGCTCCATTTCCATCCATTTACTGGCAAATGCCATAATTTCATTCCACTTTATGGCTGAGTAATATGCCATTGTGTATATGCCACATTTTCTTTATCTACTCTTCTGTTTAAGGGCATCTTGGTTGGTTACATAGCTTAGTTATTGTGAACTGAGCTGCTATAAACATTCACGTGGCTACATCACTGTAATATGCTGATTTTAAGTCCTTTGGATATATACTGAAGAGTGGTAATAACTAAATCAAATGGTGGTTCCATTCCAAGTTTTCTGAGGAAACTCCATACTGCTTTCCAGAGTAGTTGTACCAATATGCAGTCCCACCAACAATCTATGAGTGTACCTTTTCCCCTGCAACCTTGCCAACATTTATTTTTACTTGTATTCTTTATAATTACTATTCTGACTGGAGTGAGATGAAATCTCTAATTGCTGGTGATGTTGAACATTTTTTCAGATATTTTTTAACCATTCATATTACTCTTCTGTAAAGTATCTGTTCAGTTCCTTTGCCCATTTATTGATTGGGTTATTTGAGGGTTTTGGTGTTAGGATTTTTTGAGTTCTTTGTACATCTTGGAGATTAATGCTCTGAGGTATAAGGTGCAAAGATTTTCTCCCATTCTATTGGCTCTCTGTTCATGTTCTTGATGGTTTCCTTTGCTGTGAAGAGCTTCTTAGTTTGATACCATCCCATTTATTCTTGATTTTACTTCTTGTGCTTTAGAAGTCTCCTTGAGGAAGTCAGTTCCTAAAATGACACGATGGACAGTTGGGCCTACATTTCTTCTAGTAGGCACAGGGTCTCTGGTCTAAATGCTTAGTTCCTTGAACCACTTTAAGTTGAGTTTTGTGCAGGGTGAGAGATCGGGGTTCAGTTTCATTTGGCTACATATGGATTTCCAGTTTTCCCAGTACCACTTGTTGAAGAGGCTATCTTTCCTCCAATGTATGTTTATGGTACCTTTGTCTAGTATGAGATAACTCTATGTGGGTTTGTCTCTGAGGATTCTATTCTGTTCCATTGGTCTTCATGTCTTTTTGGTGCCAATACCATGTTGTTTTTGTGACTATAACTCTGTAGTGTAACTTATGGTCTGGTATTGTGATGCCCCCTGCTTCACTCTTCTTGCTAGGGATTGCTTTGGCTATTCTGGGCCTCTTATTTTTCCAAATGAATTTCACAGCTGCTTTTTCTAAACCTATGAAGAATGTCATTGAAATTTTCACAGGAATTGCATTAAATCTGTATAGCATTTTTGGTAATATGGCCATTTTGGCAATATTAATTCTGCCTAACCAAGAACCTTGGGAGATCTTTCCATCTTCTAAGGTCTTCAATTTCTTTCTATAGTGTTCTGTAGTTCATATTGAGGATGTCTTTCACCTCTTTTGTTAGATTGGGTCCCAAGTATTTTAGTTTTTTTGAGACTATTGTGACTGGGATAGTTTTCCAAATTTCTCTTTCAGTTGATTCATCATTGGTGTACAGGAACACAATTGATTTATGGGTGTTAATTTTATATCCTCCTACTTTACTGAATTTATTTATGAGTTCTAGAAGTTTTCTGGTGGCATTTTTGGGTTTTCTAAATATAGAATCATGTTGTTGGCAAATAGGGTATATTTAAATTTTGCACCTAGTAGATCTAAGAAGCTGATTAAAATATAAACCAGATGCATAGCAAACCTGCTCTTTTCTGTACTTCTTGGACCAGCACTGCTGTCATCTTAATTCAGGTAGCACAGCTCAACTGATAAAACTGAACATGTTTAGGCCACCGAGTTCTCTTATCTCACTGGTATTTGTACTAATTGGTTCATGCAGCTCTAACCTTAAGAAGACCTCTACTTCTTCTAATCTTAAAAATAAAACCCATTTCCCTTTTTAAAAAATTATAGACATCACTGGGAATTCTATCACCCAACAAGAATTATTCTTAAAAGTTGGTTTTTCCACTTCTGCCCATTTTTATGCTTTGAGGAAAACATTCACTTTAAAAATAAGGATCACATTAAATATATAGCATCCTATCCTTTTAAAAAGTAACTTGAGGCTTGGGGATAAAACTCAGAAGTAGAGTGCTTGCCTAGCATGTATGAGGCCATGGGTGCTATGCCCAGCACAACAAATAAGAAGATTCTTGTTCTGTCATATATTTTCCTCATTAAATATTCTTTAAAACCATTATTTTTAAGTGATTCATGTGGGACCAAATCACAGATTTTGGTGCAAGGTTCCAAAATATTCCTTCTAACATTTTGAACTTACTTCTTCCGAGCCCTCCTGTATCAGCACGAACTTCACTCACCCTTCTAGGAGTCAAAGGGGAGGCAGTAATACAAATTTCATCTGCTCTTTCCAGGTTCTGAGGTGGCATGACCTATAAATAATTGTTCACACAAAATGGTAATATTTGAAGAAGCATTTTCATTAGAAATACAGTAGCACTCTAAGAAGTAAACTATCTTGGCTCATTAGTTCTTCCACCTTAATAAAATCAGCTTTTTCCATTTTCATACTAAAACTAAAAAGCCTCCCAAACTGAAAATTGGGTATTAAATATGAATCAACCTTTATTACTGATTTGGAGAGTTAGAATGGCAATTATGCTAATGAACAGAAACTTGATCAGGAATCAAGAAAAACCATTGAATTTTACTGTCACTGAAACCTTGGGACAATTTCAAATTATTCCTGGCTCTTGTTAATATTTACAGAGGTAGATATTAATGCCAACTATCAACTTTTCACCCCCTACATGGAAAATACTAAATTTAAATGCTGTTTGGTGAAAGGGTAATGGAATAGGATAGATATTGATGTACTTTTCTTATAAAAAGCTGTTAGGATACTTTCACAAACCTCTTCACATGTAGGAACTCTGTTTTCATTGTCTCTAATTCTATCCCAGAGTGGGGACTCTGGTTTCCATGCCAAATGATCTAAGATCTGTTCTTCAATCTGATTAAGGTGTTTTACCACCTCTCTACAAAGGCCATCTTCTGCTCTAATGAATACTTCTATTACCTGAAATAAAGAAAAAGGCCTTGGTTCATTTAATAATAATAATGATGATTACTATGATTTTTCACACAAAAAATTTTTACTAAGCATAAAAGTAAAATGGGCACATCTGTTTAAATATTTTTCAATATTTAGACAAATATCAAAAATTACAAATTTAACAAAAGTTTGATTTTGAAACAGTGGTTCTTCCTTTTACTATCTTGTAAATAATAATGTATATATATAAATTATATAAAATATTTTCTACAGTGATATATTTCAAAATGTGTAAATGAAAAAATATCCTTTGTATATTGAGTATGAAAACATTACTGTTAATATTTTATACTAAGAGCCTGGTATGTGCCTCAGCACAAGTCCCTGGGTTCAATCCCCAGCATACACACAAAAGAAAAAAACCAAAAAAAAAATATATATATCAAAGCCCTTTATACATTTGATATATGACATGATAGAAACTAATTTTGACCATATGCTAAGTTAACATCAAGGAAGACCCTGTTTCAAAATAAAAAAGGGCTGGGGATGTAGCTCAGTGGTAAAGTGTCACTGTGTTCAATCCCTAGTACCAAACAAAAGAAGTAAATAGCTAGGAGATTAATGCCTCTCTGTAATGACAGGAAATTATTTATTAATTTTTGGTACCAGGAATTGAACCCTGGGTTGCTTAACCACTGAGCCACATCGCCAGCCCTTTATATATTTTATTTTGAGACAGAGTCATACCAGTTGCTCAGGGCCTTGCTAAATTGCTGAGTCTGGCCTTGAGCTTGCAACATTCCTGCCTTAGCTTTCCAAGTCCCTGGGATTACAGGCATGTGCCACCACACCCAGCTAGAGAACTTACTTTTTCAAACTATTCTCAATGTTACTTAACTTTCATAACAACAACAAAAAAAGGGCTGCTATACAAGATTAGCTAGTGATGTGCACATTACTTTTTAAAGCCTTGTAAGACTCCTGAAATCACAGTATTCTAAAAATCCTTTATCAGTTGGGTGTGGTGGTACACACCTGTAATCCTAGCTACTCAGGAGACTGAGGTCAGCATGAACCACTTAGTGAGACCCTATCTCAAATAAAATAAAAAGGTCTGGAGAGTTGTATCAGTAATAGAGTGCTTGCCTAGTACATGCAAAGCACTGGTTCAATTGCCAATACCACAAAACAAACAAAAAGTTGTTAAGGACTAACAACAGGAAGTTCATCTCATCCATGATCATTAATATCATAATTAAAAAAAAAAACCTTATAATAAATATCATGTGCATATTTGAATATATAACAGATCCCATCACTATATACAACTATAGTGCACCAATTAGAAAAAACATGAAAAGAAAAAAATACCTTATAAAAATGATAAAGTGGTACATCAAATATTTCGGTAATGAATGGAAAGTTCCCAGGAGGCTTATAAGAAAAAGTGACAACCTCAAGGCAGCAAGCTAAGAGTGATCTATGGAATGCATCTTGTTCCAGAACACCCTATAAAACAAAGTTAAAAACATTTAGAAACATTAGCCTACTCTAAAAGGACATTTCATACTTAAAATAAAAATACCAGATAAGGTCTTGTTTTCTGAGTTAGTGGAAGTATGTGCTTACTTTCTTACAGAACCTTTCTTAACTCTATAAATAAGCTTTATTTTATCAAAAATATAAAGGAATATATAAGAACTTACAAAAATCTTATATATTATGAAATATGACATCTCTAACCAAAATGCAAATGCACCCTGATGCTTAGATAATGTAAAAAGATATTACAAAACAGTTTTCACAGTAAGAGGGCACTGTCACAAAAAGACAGCTGGAAGGCAGGCAAGAAGGTGACTGGCTTGATGACCATGTGCCAAAAAACATGTTTATTGTAGGGTGACATAATTACAGGTGATTTGCTTTGCTTATTAGTTTCTCAAAATGTATATGAATATTTAGTATTTTTGAATTAAAAAGTTACTCAGCCAACAAGAAAAAATACGGATAAATGAGAATTCATCAAAATTTAAAAATTAAGAATAAATGGGGCTGGGGATATAGCTCAGTTGGTAGAGTGCTTGCCTCACATGCACAAAGCCCTGGGTTCAATCCCCAACACTACCAAAATAAATAAATAAATAAATAAACAAACTGGAGAGCTAGAATTGTGACTCAGTGGTAAAGCACTTGCCTAGCATATGTGAGGCACTGGGTTCAATTCTCAGCACTGCATATAAATAAAAGGTACACTGACAACTAAAAA